TCGTCCATTTTGGAGGGACGTCCAGTTCTTGTTAATGTCACTGTTGCGCCAATATTCTTTCTACTTGATGATGACTGTCTTCACTGTGTTCCATGATATATCTAATGCCTTGGAAATTCTTTTGTACCCTTCTTCTGACTTATACCTTTTAACAATGAGATCCCTCTGATGCTTTGGAAGCTCTCTGCGGACCATGGCTTTTGCTGTAGGATGCAACTAAGAAAATGTCATGAAAGACCTACTAGAACAGCTGAACTTTATTTGGGGTTAATCAGAGGCACTTTAAATGATGGCAGGTGTGTACTGACTCCTATTGAACAGGATTTTGAATGTGATTGCTTAATTCTGAACACAGCTACATCCCCAGTTATAAAAGGGTGTGCACGCTTATGCAAACACATTGTTTTAGTTTTTTATGTTTACCCCCCCCCTCAAAAAAAAAAAGTTTTCTGTTTGTTTTTCAATTGAGTTGTACAGTTTGTAGGTCACATTCAAGCTGGAAAAAGTTCTGAAATGATTTATCTTTGTCTCATTTTTTTACATCACAGAAACCTGACATTTTAACAGGAGTGTGTAGACGTTTTATATTCACTGTACATACATTCTGGGTGCATCAAAACAAAAGTTGTGCAAAGTCCTACAGTCTGTTTTGTTTAAAAAGCAGGCACAACATGAGAACAAAGTCTGCCCCCAGTCGCATGCTGTAGAGTAGTACCTTTGCTTCCTATGAGGAAAAAATGGGTCTGCTAAGTCAGAGCCATGACTCTACAAATGGACTCATGTTCCCTGATTATTCCAAAGCTCTACCTCTGGGACACACCAGAACTCTGCAGAGGCACATGCTTTTTCATGCAGAGAGCATGTGTCTTTTATACTTAGGCCGTGGCTGCTCTCTAAAAAAAAAAACATTGTAAGACTTTGCACCTATTTTGTTTTACTGTACCTTGAATGCATTTAGCTTATTTAAACAGAAAATTTAGTTGGTTTTAATTAGTACAAAGGAAAGTAGCTGGTGTCAATCCATGAAGAAAATTAGGCAGCAATCTGTACATTCCAAGTTCCACATACTTTATTAGGCTACATTTAGGCCTCGATCACACCATATGTACAGAAAAACTGATAGAAACTGATGCACAGATTTCACTTGCAGAGACATCAGTTTTCATGTGCGCTTCAATGGGTTTTATACACTATTGCAGATTCCTGCACAGAAAAAAATCTGCATGTGATACTAGTGTTGTGGTGTGAATAGGACACATAGAGATTGATTTTGTTGTGCTCTTGTGGAACACGTGAAGAAAAACTTACATCTCTGCAGCTAACATGTTTTAGCCATACGGCCTTCTTCAAAGCATGAAGAAGCTTTGCAGAAGGCCCTATGGCAGAAACATGTAAGCTGTATTGTGCTGCTTTTAAATGTAGCCTAATAAAGTGTTTGGAACTTGGAGTGTACTAGGTTGCCAGCTTTCTTCATGGATTGATGCCTTTAGAGTAAACACTCCAGCCACGAGCAGCGGCCCTCAATGTGGGTAAAGTTTTTTTAAAGTAGATGGTGGGATGGAAGGATCCAACATTACTATTAAGGACAAATTGAGAAGCAAAGATATAGAGCAGTCCCAATTCTCCTACTGGGTTAGGTGCCTGTTACAGGACCTGTATGCATGCCACTGTAAAGAGGTAATGGCAAAGAAAATAACAAAAAGTGCACACACTATATAGAAAATTGTGTTCCCCAGCTTCTCTTGGTTATCTGACTTGTTCCTTACAATGGGCACTTTCTGAATATTTTATGTTGTGTGTGCCTATAACACGCATCACTAGAAGCCATTGTGCAGTTTTCATCTATGCTCTTAGTTATTATGCCATCTGACCTTTATGTAAGACAATCTTATGATTCATTGAAGTGAAAAAATAAATGGGTTGTTGGCAAGCAAACATTAGATAAAAATGTAAGAGAAATTCTGCTCCACAGTAATCAGAACTGTCATTTTTATAGTGTTTATTAATACAGCATAAGGAAATCTTAAACTCTCAAAACCATTCATTTCCTCTTGGACGTAAGAAACATCTGTGTGGCCCTATAGGGAATTCAAGTGTTCAGTGAGAACATGACCAAAGAGAAAGGAAAGCAGAACAAGTTTGTCTGTACAATGCGTTACTTTAAAAAAATAGACACCATTCTGGAACAAACCTAAATTTGTCAAGACGTACGTTGCTCAATCAACTGTCAAGCCTCTCGGCATTCCAATGCGTGTGACAGCTGGCAGGGCTAGAAGTGTGGTATGCATAAGCTTGATAAGTGGATCAGATGAGACTGGACATGGTTTGATAACACAAACAAGCCCAATAAGATTTACAAAAACAGTCAAACTTCATGACAGGATGCTAATTGCATTTCTGCAGTTTCTATGACAACCACACAGTTCTAGGTCTCCAGAAGCTAGTTGGTATTTCTATGTGCTAATTAAATAATTGTATCCATCACTTTTAACCTGTGAAGCTTCAGAGGCAACAAGTGACATCTTTTGCAACTAATATACGCTAATACTAATTTTCTGTGTGGTTACATTCTGGCCACAGTTATGTATAATGAAAGAACATTAACAAAATAAAGAAAGAAAAAAGTCTCTAACACAAAGGGTTAATCATTCTATACTTAAAGGATACATTCACCTTTGTGAACATGTTATATGTTCCACCCACATGTTTCCACTCCTGCAACATCTCAGCATTCCGCTGCCTTAGTATGACAGCAGTACAGGGAGAAGTTTCCCGCCGTACCAACTGTCACTTTTAAAAAGACTAAAGCCATGTGGAGCTCCACCCACATGGTTGTGTCATTCATTCACAGATTTCTGTGAATGAATTACAAGAACCTTTGCGGATGTTGGTTTGCAGTTCTCAATGAACTGCCACAACCCTGTTGAGAACTCTGGTAGTTCACCGATTCTTTCGGTCAGTGTGAAACTGCCTGCCTGCACGATGTACAAGCAGACAGCTTACACTGCCAGTCTGCAGGAGTTCTGCTTGGCACCAGCAATCTGCTGATCGATGGTGTCATGCTCCTAAAACAATAATAGTAAATGCCCCATGTTTTGCCTGCAAAATAATGTGCATTTATTATTTTTTTTAAAGGTGAACTTATCCTTTAAAGGTTTATTCAATCTCAAGATGCATACAAGCTGCACAGCCCTCAGCTCCGTGCTTTAGTCTTTCATGCAGGCAGTGATGTAGGGCACAGTCCAACCCTTTGACTTTTGTTGGTAATGTGGTGATCTAAAAACACCTGTGAGCCCCAAGGTGTCCCAGTTTTGGGTAAGAATTTTTAACCTCATACCCTCGGTCACAGACGTAAATCTTACTTGGGCCCCAGAAACAGCTTTGTTTCAGAAAAATGACACCTAAATCCCGAAATGACCTAAAAGGATCACTGCTCTATATGCTTTTGGCAGCAAAAAGCACGTTGTTGGAAGATAGCTGTGGTGCACTTAGAATATGTTAAACATAAACCTAACTGGATTATGGTGAATGACAAACTCACCTTTATCCTCCATAATGATATCACTAAATTTCACAAAACCTGGGAACGCTGGATTCAGTACATCTCTCTTGTGGACCGAGAGTGGACAGACCTTCCTATTTCTTAGGCTACTGGGAAGCCCTCTCCTTTCTTTCTCTTCTTTCCTCTTTTTCTAACTTTTCCTCTATTTCTTTTGGATTTGAGCTAACTGTATCTTAATGGACTTTGAGTGTGTAGTGACACCTTAGAGGCACTGTTATTTTAAGGATAGGAGCATCTATACTTTTATTATATGCATGACCCTGTTAGGCCTTGATAGGTTTCCTTCTATTCCGGGTACATGCTATATGACGGGTGGTTCTACTAATGTGGTGTTTGACCTGCTCACAGGGTGAGCTTTCTAGGAACAAAAATTGTCGCTGACACTTACTTAACACACCCTTCTCTCTATTCATAGGAGATGTTCATTTTTGTTCAATTATATGTTCACCTGTGATAAAGGAGAACCATTCCAAAAATATTTGCTACTTGTTCTTCCAAAACAAAAAGACTAATATATGAAGATGACAGTACTTTGATAGAAGATGTGGAGAGGGGGGAGTTATAAAACTATAATTATATGTAATTATAAAGGATTTAGAAGGTACATGAAAAGACTCTGTGAGGTGCTCCATGGGTTTTATTTTAAGTAAGTAAAGCAAAAAAAAAAATTAAGGCAAATTAAATTAAGTTTTTTACTTTAACACCACTGCAGATAAGTAGCAGCATCTCATGGGTTTGGATTGCCTAAAATTGCCTTTTAACTTCAGATTCTTATTACAATAATGGGAGATAATTATACCTCTCAACATTTTGGGAAATCACAAAGACATTTAGAAGGTAGGGGGTCAAAAAAGTGATGTTCAACCTATGGTTGGATCTACATTGACCTATTCTTGTCTCCCTCTTAATCTGCCCTTGTACAGGAGATAAAAGTTTGGAGATCTTTTAATAGTCGCTCTTAATATGGAACTATACCCACCAATTTAATGGTTTCCCAAAAGAAAGCTCAAGTTAGAAATGTTCAATAAATGTTATCTAACCCTTAATCAAACACACCAGTGCTGTGCTTTTTATTTTTTTTCTACAGTGTTTTTATTTACATTTTACCTACTACATTGAGCACGATGTAACAGTTGCTAGTGTGTTTATGTCAGATCTCAACTGCTTTAACCACAAGCCTACAGGGCACTTATACCCCCTTCCTGCACAGGCCAATTTCCAGCTTTCAGCGCTGCTGCACTGTGAATGACAATTGCGCAGTCATGCAACACTGTACCCATATGAAATTGTATCATTTTTTTTGTGACAGATAGAGCTTTATTTTGGTGGTATTTAATCACCTCTGTTTTTTTTATTTTTTTTTTTTCTTTTTTTCTTAAACAAACCAAAAAACACTAATTTTTTTTTTAAAAAACCCTGTTTTTTTCTTAGTTTTTTGTTAAAATTTTTTGTAAATAACTGATTTTTCTCCTTCACTGATGTGCGCTAATGAGGCTGCAGTGATGGGCACTGATAGACACTGATAGGGGGCACTGATGAGGAGGCACTGGTAGGTGGCACTGATGGGCATTGACAGGCATCACTGATGGCACTGAAAGGCAGCACTGATATATGGCACTGTTAGGCGGCACTGACTGGCACTGATAGGCGGCACTGACTGGTACTGATGAGTGACACTGAAAAGCAGCTCAGATGGGCACTGATATGTGGCATTGATATGCAGTGGTAGGCACTGATATGTGGCATTGATGTGGCACTGATGGGCACTAGCAGGTGGCACTGATGGGCACTAGCAGGTGGCACTGATGAGCACTGACAGCTGGCACTGCTGGGGCTACACATATCATCAGTGCTCTGATTATCAGTGTACATGTCCCCTCCGCGGAATGCCGATTACCGGCTCTCCTCTCGAGCTGTCAGCGTGACAGCTTGAGAGGAGAGAAATGGCGATAACCGGCATTTCCCTGTTTACATGCAATCAGCTGTGATTGGGCACAGCTGATCACATGACTGAGCTGATATCTTCGGCTCTTTCCATGGACCGGTGACCCGCTGTTTTCCGAGGCGCACAGTGCACCACCGATCGCCGCGCTGCACGCTCCGGGAGCCGCGTATCCGTGGTTAGAATGGGAAGACATCATATGACGTCCTCCCAGAACGAGAGAACCACCTTGTGTCCGTCATATTACTATATGGCGGGCGGGAGGTCCGTTAAAGTGATTGTAAACCTCAGATACAGCATTTACCTCTGTTGTGTGCATTTGTCTTTATCCAGAACAGTAAGTGTCATTTCCGGTTGCTGCCCTCTTTCTTTGCTATCTACATGAGTCACTTCTAATAAGTTTTCCTGACACCAAGAGAATAAGGCTACTTTCACACTGAGGAGTCTTTGAAGCGTTTTTGCATTAAAAAAAAGCACCTGAAAAGCTCAACAAAAAATGCTTCCCTATGTATGTGAATGTATATCTATCTATGTTTTCACACTGAGGCATTGCGCTTGCGGTGCGGTATAAAAACTCCTGCTTGCAGCATCTTTGGGGCATGCTTGGTTAGTTAAAAAAAAAAAAAAAAAAACGCCCCAAAAATGCCTCTTACCATTGATATTAATGGAAAATGCCTGAAAACTGCCTCTGAGAAGTGTTATTGGCACAGTTTTAAAGTTACATGTCCTTTAAAAAACACTCAGAAAGCGTGGCAAAAGCGCAGTAAAAACACCTGTGCGTTTTTTGCGGCAGATCAGTGTGAATGTAACCTAAAGGAGAAAGGGGAGGGAGTTTCAGCAGATTGACAGCCTCAGCTTTGTTCCTGTGTGATGTGTGAAGGGGGAGGGGGTGTCTCTTCATTCCAATTAGCTCCCAGAGCTATCCTCACTGAGCTATGTAGTGTGTAATTTCAGCCCCCTCCCCGTTTTTTGAAAGCTTTATAAACTCTGGATGGATGTAGAAAAGATAAAACTGCAGGTAAACAGGTACAACTTATGTAGGAGGATTTGTTTCATCTCTGTGTATCGCCTGAGGCCAGTCTCTTCACTGGGTATAAGTAAGGGTTTACAACCACTTTAAGCCTGTAAAAGGCTGATGTCACAGCTGATCACATGTGCAGCACCATGGCAACTACAAATCTACATAGAGGCTAGAATGGCACCATTCACTTTAGCTAGGGGGAGCTGTATCATGAAAACGTTTGAGGTGAGCAAATAAATATTTCATTTGTGAACAGCCAAAGCCATCTAGCAAAGTATGCTTCCAAAATCTTTATGATCATTATTAATTACCAAGGCTGATGCATTTGCATTTTCAGGGGTTTTCATTATTTAAACCATTTTTTACCTAATAGCTTATAGATTTTTTTTTATATTTTTTGCTATAAGCAAGGGAGTTTTAATATCCCTGATTGCCTTTATTCATTGAATAAATTCACAAGATGGTCACAAATATTATAAAAGCTATAGTCACTTTAAGGTCTTTCAGCTGTCAAAGTCAGCCCTTAAAGAGAACTTACTGAGAGTCACTTACTTACTGAAATATGGAGGCTGCTTCTGAAAATGCTAGCTGCCTGGCTGTCTTGAGAATCTAATAGCAAAAAAAATTCTAAACACACTAAACTGAAAGAAGTATGAAAAATACTGACTTCTGACTTCACCAGATGCATCAGCGTTACCAGTCAGTGACACAGCAGGATGTGAAGTTAAAGGACCAGCACTACCAACAATTTTAGAAAGAGGACAGAAATTAGCAGCCATCAAACTTCCACCAGCAAAGGTTTAGGAAGAAAAAAATGCTAAACTCTAGCTAAGGAAAAACACAAGATAGCAGGATTATTACATTTACAAACCAGAAGGTATTTGTGTTAGAATTATAAAAAAAGGCATAATGGGTATGAATCTACAATTTCTGGTGTCTGATAATGTTTTATATGACATTTGACTTATACTGATCTTCAACACACAAGTACCAATCTTCTCTTCATTAAAGTTTCTGGTGCTTCAATGATGAGAAAAAACACTCAGCAGCCATTCAGGGACTTTCTTGTGACCCACATATCTGGTGCCTCAGACAGCAGGATAACCTTTCCCTTTAATTATTAAAGTGTATGCCTGTCGTCTGCTTTATCATTTTGTAAAACAGTCTCTGAAGCTTGTAAATTAACTTACCAAAAAGATTTCACCTGTAATGTCTTGTCTTAACTAAAAAGCACACTTTAAACACAGTAATCTGATCATGAAAAAAAAAAACTTTGGTCAGAAATGATGTAAAATAAACTCAGTATTTCCTATTCACTAAGCATGCACTTGTCAGAAAAATCACAAGGAGACAAAAAAAAGAGGCCAAAGGATAAGCTGAAATATAGTAGCAGAAATATTGTATATGTTATTAAAGCATTTGTAAAGTCAATGTTTTTTTATTTTAAAATACCAAGCATGGTATACCACAGATAGGCCCCAATTCTCCTCCTGGGTCCCCTGCTAGCACTCCTGGCTCCTCCTCTTCCCATTGTGGCGCACTTGCATGCTTGATCCTGAGCCACACTGTCTGTGTCTATAGACACAGACAGCAAAGGCTTGGCCCCACTCCCTCATCACAAGATTGCCTAACTGTAGTGGGAGTCAATGGCTCCTGCTGCTCTAAGCAAAGCCTGTGAAAGCAGTGAGAAGAGGAGAGAGCTGCTACAGACAGGCACACCACTGTATGGGGATCTGTTTAAGGTAAGTATAAGAGGGGTGAGGTAATGATACACATGAAATATTTTTTACCTCAACACAGGATATATACTAACCGCTTCCCAACCACCCTATAGCAGAAATACTGCTACAGGGCGGCACGGGTGCACAAAATCACGTATATATTTCCAGGTAGGGGGTCACGCAAGCCACACGATACGCGCGCCCTACCTGCGCCGCTATTCACAGCCACGACTGTCAATCACCGGGTTCCATCCGGTGATTACCAAGGATCTCCGACAGGAAGGAGATCTGTTTTGTTTACTAACAGTTCCCCTCCCTGTCAGCTCGGGCACATTACAGCCATCCAAAGCTTACAGTGAAGCACACAGACACCGCCCCCTAGTAAAACACTCCCTGCACACAGTTAACCCTTTGATCGCCCTCAGGTTAACCCCTTCCTGCTCAGTGCCATTAGTACAGTGTCAGTGCTTTTTTTTTTAGCACTGATCACTGTATCGGTGTCACTGGGGATGTCAGTGACACCAAGTCAGTTCCCCCCAGTGTCAGAATGTCCACCGCAGTTCCACAGTCTCGCTAAAAGTAGCTGATCGCTGCCAATAGTACTAAAAATTAAAAAAAAAATATCCCAGTATATATACCGCCATTTGCAACACTATAACCTTTTATGTAAACCAATTTACATGTATTGGTGTTTTTGTTTAGCAAAGACATGTAGCAGAATACATTTAATCCTAAATTTATGACGAAATTTTTTTTTTTTTCTCAAAATTGTTGGTCTGTTTTTTTTTTTCATAGTGCAAAAAATAAAAAAACCGCACAGGCGATCAAATACCACCGAAAGAAAGCTCAATTTGAGGGAAAAAATAATGTAAATTTGGATGCAGCGTTGCATGATTGCGCAGTTGTCAGTTAAAGTAACACAGCGCAGTAAAGCAAAAAATGGCCTGGTCAGGAAGGGGGTTAAATCCTCTGGAGGGCAAGTGGTTAAAGTAAAAAAAATATATATATATATTTTAAAGTAACCACTGGGTGTGAGATGATTGATTGGTTGTAAAACTATTTAGGTCAATTAGAGGCCATTTCTATTCCTCTACAGCCCATTCATTTTGACTGTGTTAACTACCGGTGAGGTTAGGGAGTTTATGGAAGATGTACTGTATATAAGCAGATTTGGGCAGGACTTATTTTATCCTCATCTTAGAAACGTTACCAACAACAGTGGGTTATTTCGCTGAGTTTTGGAAAGTGTGATGGGTGATACAACAGGCAATTTTGTATAATGATAACATGATGCCACAAACATGGATAAAACAAGACAAGGTCATTAAAAGGGTAGAATGAATGTATGAAGAAAAAAGAAATTACAGCAAATGGGAAACTGCTAAAATTAGAATTTACTGTACCAGATAGGTAAATGGCTTTATCAACCATGAATTCTTCTGCAAATCGAATGTGACAGAAATTTTTTTTTGCTTTTGCGAATTGCTGTAATGTCTCCACATTGCTCAAAGACCTCTTGCATTATCTCCTCTGTAGCGTTTTCAGGTAATCCTCCAACAAATACAGTTTTACAGCCTGGAGGCCTCTCTCTTGTAGATGGAGGAGGCAAATCTATGGACAAAATGGAAATAATAAACATTACATATTTTCCCTGTGATACAATGTAACCTATTAAAATTTGAGCATTATATTCAAGCACTTTAAATGAGAGTCTCAGACAAAATACTGTATAGTATAATGTAAGTTTTCTTTTTATGAGGGTATAGTATGCAAACACCATTCCCATATGTGAACACTCACTATAGATTTATTTATTTATTTCAGGTACTTATATAGCGCCATCAATTTACGCAGCGCTTTACATATATATATATATTGTACATTTACATCAGTCCCTAACCCTCAAGGGGTGTACAATCTAAGGTCCCTAACTCACATTCATACATACACATATTAGGGCCAATTTAGACAGGATCCAATTAACCTACCAGCATGTCTTTGGCGTGTGGGAGGAAACCGGAGCACCCGGAGGAAACCCACGCAAGCACAGGGAGAACATGCAAACTCCATGCAGGAGGCGCCATGGTCAGGAATCAAACCCATAACCCATTTACTGCAAGGCAGACGTGCTAACCACTAAGCCACTGTGCCACAGATCACCAACAAGTTACCCATTTTATGTTTTTAC